CTTCATTCTACACCCTGGGCTGCATTCCTGGTCCTCCATCCTCATGGAAACTCCCTCCCCCAGTTTGTAGGTGGGTGGTGATGCCCAGAAATGAATCCAGGTGCAAAGGAGGAAAGGCCAGAGTTGGGTTTTTATTCTGTGTGTGGCTGAAAATCAGCTTGGACTCACTGTAGGCACTGCTGAGCTTCTTTTTCCTGAAATATGAGGAGAAAAATGGATTTTCTGCTTGTTTTCCAAGTGAACTAATTCCCAGGGAGAGCTGGAGGCTGGACAGGGATATTTGATGTGCTCAAAAGCAAAGGATGTGGCAACTTTTAAAGTGCCAAAGGGAGCTGTTTGTCCCCCACTTTTCAGGATGCTGAGAAGCTGCATCAGGGCTTTTCCTGAGCACATATTCTGCCAGCCTTGACTCCTCAATTTCCTGCAATTGTTGGAGTGTTCAGAGTAACTCCTTGTTTTTGTTTTCCAGGCTGGTTGTGCCCAGGCTGAAACAAGTCCTGGGGAAGGAAGGGATGCTTGAGTTTCAAGGAAAGCCTTTTTTTCTTGCACAAACCCACGGTGGGTCCTGCAAAAAAATCCACTGGGAGAATGTGTTACCCAGAGAAGCTGTGGCTGCTCCAGCCCTGCAAGTGTCCAAGGCCAGGTTGGACAACCTGGGCTAGTGGAAGGTGTCCCTGCCCATGGCAGGGGGTGGCACTGGATGATCTCCAAGGTCCCTTCCCACCCAAACCATCCCATGTTCTTGCCCATCTCTGGCAGCTCCAGCTCCATCCCACCAGCAGCACTGGGGGTCTCAGACCCTCCTCAGCCCCAGCCCAGAGGCAGCTGAAAGACTTGGGTTTAACCTGTCACTGGAATGGATTTAAATGCCAGGGAGTGGGGTGAGATGGGATTTTGGGAAGGCCCTGGCACAGGTTGCCCAGAGAAGACCTGAGAGCCCCTTCCAGAGCCTACAGGGGCTCCAGGAGAGCTGGAGAGGGACTTAGGACAAGGGATGGAGGGACAGGACAAGGGGGAATGGCTTCCCACTGCCATTCCCAAAGGACAGGGGTAGAGGGATATTGGGAAGGAATCCTTCCTTGTGAGGGTGTTGAGGAGCTGGGATGGAATTCCCAGAGAAGCTGTGGCTGCCCCTGGATCCCTGGAAGCATCCAAGGCCAGGTGGGAGGACCCTGGTCTAGTGGAAGCTGTAGAAAGGAGGTAGAAAGGGATCTCTAAGTCCCTTCTAACCCAAACCATTCCAGGATTCTGGAATTCTATGAATTAAACCACTTCCCCATTTGCTCTCAACAAATCCATCGTGGCCATGCTGAGTTTTTCTGAGGCAGTTTCATGTCCTCTGGCAAAGACATTCTGGAAATCACTTGCAGGGAGCAGAAAGGGGGATGATTTAGGGGAGCAATCTGCAGACCGATGCTCCTCTGAGCCCTCACACTTCATATCCCATCACTCTGCTGGAAACACTTGGGGAAATGAGGCACATTCCATTCTGCTTCCCTAATTTCTGATGAAAATCAGGACCCCAGTTTGATTTCAGACACATCCTGGCTGTGAACATTTCCCTGAGCCTACCTGGCTCCTCATTCAGGTTCTTCCTTGGCTTGTTCCCAGCTTTTTGCTGCTTGCCAGGAGGAATTTTGCCCTTTTATGTGCCTGAAACAAGTTCCTGCTTTTCATACGTTTAAGTAGCTGTTGTCAGGTCTCAGGCACAGGAAAACACGGAGTTTTCCAGGGCTTGGAGATATTGGTTTGTGCTGCTTGCCTGGATGGGCTTTGCTGCCTTTTTCCTCCCAAATTCCCACCTTGCTGAAAATTTGAGACCAAGAAATGCAGCAGGTTGCTCTGGGCACACTGAGGATGCAGCTCCTTTTGGGTCCTTCTTGATGGGAATCTGGGTTTTCAATGCCAGGCACGGGAAAACCAACCCTCTGCTCAGGGTTTGCAATGCAAGAAAAAAGCTGGGAATGCCATTTCCCCGAAAAAAATCAGCCCCAGGCTCCCAGACCTGCCTTTTCTCCCTGTTTTACACACTCTCCTCCAGCTTCCCCCTGGCAGATTTGCTTTTCTGGTTGTTCCAGGGTGTGGATCAAAGGCTAAAAATTAAGCTATTAAAATAAAAAATAATTTCTCTAATTCACCCAAACCTGAAAGGGGCTTTTCCAGCTGATCCCAAACATTCTCAGATGCTCCTGAAACAGAGTCAACACTGGGTAGGAACAATTCCTGCTGGTGTTATGGCTTTTTTATTGATTATTCTCTAATTCTCCTCCCATCTCCTACAGAAGAGCTCAGCTACATCCAATTCATTTTCTGGAGAGGGTTTTGTAACCACTCCAGAGCCAAACAAAGCCTGTTTTTAAGGACGGGAGAGCATCATCCACGTCCAGCTCTGCTTCCCGAGCTGGCAGCCCCTGAGCTGTGGCAGCACCATCACCCCTGGAAGGGAATATCAGGAATATCGGAGCCAGTTCAGCTCCGAGGCATCGGCTCCAAACGTGCTGGCAGGAGACAAGCCCCCCTCACCCTCCTCGCCTGGATCCACAGCCAAAAAAATGTCTTTTATTCCTCGGGAAGAGGGACCAAAGGAGGCATAGCAGAGTCAGGAATGTGCAGCATGGGAAAAATCTGTTGCACTTGTAAGGCTGAAAATTCAGTTCCAAGGGGAATCGAGAAGCTGTTTGAGAGCCGGGATTTATCAGCAGTGCTGGTGTGAAGTGCCATTAAATAGAGATTTCTTTGAATTGGAGGTGCCCGGGGCAGGGCTGGTCTGTGCCCCTCCAGGGCGGTGACAAAGGAGTGTCCCCGGGGCCACCAGCACCAGCTGAACTTTAGATCGTGGCACAGCACGAGCTCTGCCAGCAGATCCCAACCACAGCTCCAGCTCTGCCGGCAGATCCCAACCACAGCTCCAGCTCTGCCGGCAGATCCCAACCACAGCTCCAGCTCTGCCGGCAGATCCCAACCAC